GTCTTTGTGCCGTTTGTGATTATGCGGCCTTCGGTTGGTAAAAGGACTGGGGATAAATTAAATCGGCAGACACAAATCTACTTAAAAACAAGTGCCCATTCTATTGGATTCATGCCTGAAATGCAATCCACCTTGGCAATCTCGTCTGCTATTAATGGGCACATCATCGTGGGATGCGCAAGGAAGATTTTATCGAGCTCAGGCTCTGGCTAATTGGACGCCATTAAAGTTAAATTTATTCTCTGCCGGACGGAATCTGCACAGGTGGGCAAGAGAAGAAAGCGCTGCCGATCCGATCCAGATAAGGCCTACTTTATAAATAAAAGCATATTAAACTTTTGCACGTGGCTGTCACTTCGCAAGAACTGGCCGTTTCTCCTTTGCTTTTGATCTTCATTTTCTAACATGCTTCAGCTTCCGCGCTTACCCTCCGCCCTCACTTACGGACTTTGTTTTGGTTGCCAAGCTTAGTAGTCCTCCTTCACCCGCCCCCCTTCTTTCCTTTTACTTTGAGCCTAACTTGGGTGTCCAAAGCAGCCTGCAACTATCCTTCTTTGTCGCCCATGCAGAGTCAGCACCTGCTCTCTCCCGACTTCGGCCCCCTCTGTGAAGGGACAACGTATGTATGAACGGGCATTCTGTCTGCGAGGAGAATGGAATGCAATAAAAGCACGTTTTTCACACAAAGCACACACACACACACACACAGACAAATACACACAAGAATGTATACGAAGAGAGCATCCATACTAAAAGGTGGGACAAGCGGCAGTTATAGATGTTAAGAATTTACTGGAATTCTGGTATATAGCTAAGACTATGTGGTATAGCCAGGCTCTGGGGCATTAATTTGCAGCCCAGACAATCTTCCACCCACCTCAGAAATGCAATACCTCTTCTGCCGTCCAGACAAGAAAATACGGACATTTTTTGATGGGAGAAAGTGGCCAATGCCGGAACAGGTTGGTCTCTTGAGATCGAGATCTGTCTACACTTGTGAGCAACATTTTTTATTTGGCTAGCCAACTGCCTACAATGAGTCAAACCGGATGTAAATGGATCAGTTGGCTTCAGGAACAGACACAAGGCTAAAGTCTGAACCCTCCCTGGGACTCGGGCAGATGTGTCACCAGGCCAATTCGGTATGCATTCAGGAACTATCCGACGAATCCCCTGTGTGTGATTAGCATTACTAAGCAAAACTTACCCTAATATATGCGAAAGTTTGACGAAGAGAGAGAGAGAGATTACTACTTTGTTATTGCAAACTGAGAGCAAATCTTTAGTCACTTCTAGCTTCCCATTAGACGAGGCCCTCGAGCGCAAGGATGATAAAGTCATTTGTATAAACTCATAAAAATTGTATTAAAAAAAATAAACTGTGGGTAACTCAATACTCTTAGATCTCATTTCATACCAATTTCAGCATCAGTTTTGAAAATAAAAACCGATGACTAAATGATCATGCTGATTTACTATTTTAATAGCCTAGATTAGATGAATTTTTCGGTCAAATTATAATTAATGCTTTAAAATTTCAATAAGGTCTGAATAAACAAAGTCATGTCTGGTGCTCCTTCAGTTAAAATTCAATTGTAAAATTGCTTTTCTTTAAAGAATTGCTCAGCAATTATGTCCTATAAGATGGTATAGTGAGACAGTAGGACAGTATATGCGAAGGAAAGTTGGATTTCGAGGAATCTCTTGTCTCATAATTATTGAGCTTAGTTCCATTTAGAGTGAAAGGGTTTGGTGAAAAAAATGGAAGGTCGATTCGACCAGAAGACGAAGGCGGACTCCTCTTGACCAACTGTCGATTGGCTTTTCTGGATGATTCATGTTGATGCTGTTACCGAAGTAGTCTCCTTCGATTCCGGTGAAAAGTGCTAAGCTTACGTCCATCATATGACGAATGTCATCGGAGCAAGGTATCATCAGTACAAGCAAATTCAGGGTAATGAGGCAAGAAAACACACCGACACATACCTAAAAAGCTGTATATATACTCTATGCCTGACCTCTTTAATAAGGCCTTCCAAAAAGAGACAATGAGGGAGTCCCTTTAAGACTAATTAAAAATAGGAGAGGGAGTGTGATGCATAAGATTTCACGTTCCTTATGCAGACAATAAAGGAAAGTGTCGTAGTATTGGAAATATTCAGTGAAGAACTCATATGAATTTGTTAGATTGATAGATAAACATAGTATTAACGACGATGGTCTTTTGGTTAGTCTTGATGTGGTATCAATGCATACTAACATGCCAGTTCAGATGGCTATTAAAGCACTAGCACTCAGTCTGAATGAGCACCCAGAAATTATTGAGGAAGTAAATCTGAGCAAAGGCTCAATCGTAAGACTTCTTAATCTACCCATGAGGAGCACATACTTCACCCTTGCCAATAAAGTTTATAAACAGATGCAGGGCCTAGCATTGGGATCTTGCTTGTCTCCTATTTTAGCTAATAATTACATATCAAGAAATGAGAAACACTCCATGGAAGAGGTAGGATTGACACCAAAACTGTAAGTTAGTGTTATATGTCAAACTCGAAGTCTGTGAGTATGTCTGTTTTGGTATCTGTATATGCCTGTGAAAGGAAACTACAACATTTTCTTGAGTTATGCCCACTTTTAGTGAGAAAGTTGACCCATTATTCAGATCGGGTTGCTACCAAATAATGTGTTCATGTGGTCGCTTTTATGTTGGAGCGACTTGTCGTTCCATTCGACAAAGAGTGGCTGAGCACAAAAGTGCCTGCAAAGGTTGTCGGCTTCAAAAATCGGAACTTGTTGACCACAGGCCAGAAACGGGACACGAGATTGAATGGTCTCAAACTTGTCGTTTTGTTGATTATGGCATGTAGGCGGCTAAACGTAAAATTAGAGAAACCATCGAAATAAACTGAATAGGAAATGCATTTAATGTGAGGAATGCCAGCAAGAAGATAAGTAAAAATTACTTGTGCTTAAATAATAGACTGAAGGATAGGGAGGGAGTTGAGTCGCCGTCAAAAAGGAGGCCACTCAATTAGTCATTTCTTGTCTTGCTTCTAATCATAGTTACTTCTCTGTACTTTTGGCCTATTGCTTTCTCATATGGAGACAAAAACCAGACGTGTGTCCAACTTTGCTTAAACAGAGTGATGGTTCTAACGTGTATGTAGAAAGAGGGAGATAGTGGTCATCAAACCTTGATGGCCGAGAGCAGACGTTAATTTTTCTGTCCTAATTACTTTGAGACATCACTGCCGGTTCGTGCATAGGCGAACACATACAGGCAGGTACACATACAGATACAGACACACTCACATGATTCGAGGTTGATATATGACTGGAACTAACCAAATCAAAGAGGTCAGGCATAGAGTATATATTTTTCGCATTTAAGTATTGTTTCGAGACCTCCAGTAAATCTATAATATGAGATGTATTCACCCAGCAACGATATGAGTAGAGCTGACGTTTCCATTTAATTCACCAAAAGTTATTCTCATCCTGACTGGAGTGGACTACAGTTTCGACCTCGCATAGGTCTTATCAACACCCTCAGCGGGAGTCGAACCGTGACAGTGCAGAATGGGAGTTTGATACGCTAACCACTCGGCCACATTGGCACAAGTGCCGTTGGATCACAGGGCAGATGTGCATTTCAAGGAAGGTTAGGCCTTTTTGTCATATCGCATTCTTTGCTGGGGTTTTCGATGAAGCAAGCGTATATTTGCTATAAAAATCAACTACGTAACTTTATTTTTCCCATTTTTGTATTGTTTCGAGACTACCAGTAAATCAGTAGTATAAGATGTATTCACCCAATTTCGTTTTAGCTGATGAAGCAGTGATGAAGAGTATATAAACAGCTTTTTAAGGGTGTGCCGGCGAGTTTTCTTGACTCGTTAGCTTGAATTTGATTATGACGATGATACCTTGCTCTGATGATGTCCGTGATATGACGAACGAAAACTTAGCACCTTCTCGCTGGAA